CATGGAATATTTAAGTAATTTGTCCAGTGTAACACAGCTGGTTAAGTGACAGAGCTGGCATTTGATTCAGGCAATGTGAGTCAGTCATCTCTTCTTTTAACCTTTATATTTCTTGTTGGGTGCTGTCAAGCTGAGTTTTGACTCATAGCAATTCCATGTGACAGAGTAGAAATGCCTCATAGGGTTTCCTAGGCTGTGGCTGACTCGACGGCACATAACAACAACAACAACAATCTTTGTGGGAGCAGATCACCAGGTCTTTCTCCAGTGAAACTGTGGGATGGATTTGAACCACCAGTCTTTTGGTTGTTAGCCAACTGCTTAACCAGGCCTCCTTGAACTTTTGTACTATTCTTCATTTTATTGGAATCAGGAACTAAATGCAACTTTTGTATGTGTGAGTGGGGTTTTACAAAGCAGTGTTTATCTGAGTGAGCTTTTTCTTCGTGGAGCCTCTCCTGAGGTCCTTTTTCTTGACTTGATTAGATTCACCAGAGAAGAATCTTCTCATCTCCTGATTGGAAGTTTAAAGGGCTGGCTGCTGGCATTTCGGATGCTGAGGGACTGAAGCGGACTGGCAGTATGGCTTTCAACATTTAATATAACTTTGACTTAGTCCACCTGTGTTGGTATGTTCTATTCCAGAAATCCTGTTTTATCCTATCCAGGAAATAAACCTCTAGTCTGCTACATTTACAAATTGCCCAGTTGTGCAGACTCTGGGAGTGGATCTTGAGATATACCTGACACTCCTGTTTTTGAGTTTCACCTCACCCAATGTTCAGTGCCTCCCATTCCTTAGCCTTTTGTATACTTTGTGATATTAATGTGTTGATTTTTCATTTTCCCCTCTGGTAATTCAGGATTCATTTTCCTTTTATTTGCTGAATCAGCTTTCACTTGTCCTTTTATTTTCAGATTTCTTGCAGTTTTCTCAGTTCACATTTTCTTTGACCTTGTGTTTATGCAGAAGCAAACAATTTTAAAGAAATATTTATTCTCTTTTTGTTGGGTCTTGGAAAATACTAGAATAAAATGTATGTTCCTAATGTGCAACTTAAATTTTCTATTATATAAGTTTCCATCTAGTCGATTCCGACTCGTGGTAACTCCATGTGTGTCAGGGTAAAATTGTGCTTCATGGGGTTTTCAGTGAGTGACATTTTCAGAAGTAAATGGCCAGACTTGTTTTCTGAAGCGTGTCTTGGTGGACTTAAACCTGCATTGCTTCTGTTAGAAGCCAAGTATGTTAGGTGTTTGCACTGCCCAAAACAAAACAAAACAAAACAACCAAACCCATTGCCATCGACTTGATTCTGACTCATAGCAACCCCCGCAGGGTTTCTTAGGCTGTCATTCTTTATGGAAACAAATTGTCTCATCTGTCTCCCGCGGAGCAGCTGGGGGTTTGAACTGTCTGTCTTTTGGTTAGCAGCCGAATGCCTTACCCATAGCACCACCAGAGCTCCTTTTGCACCACCCAGGAATTCTTAACTTTTCTGTTGGGTCTGTTAAAATCCGTCTCAAATGTTGCCTCTTACCTCAGGCTTTTCTATGATGCTTCCAACCAGGTATATCACCTTCTGAAAATATTTCCTCCCACCTGGAAAAATTTGCTTCTTCCTAAAGGCTCTTTTATAACTCATGTAATTTGTATTTGCATGCTCATCTTATACTCTGTTCTTCCCAAACCAGGCCTTACACTTCTTGAGCACGTTGTGTGTAATATTGAGTGCTGCATATGTGTATGTTTGCCCTTTTGTATGTTTTTTCTTGTAAAATATTCTTAGACTATCAGCAGTATTTCAGATACTGAGGATAGCAAAAGGTGAGAATATAGTAGAGTAACAAAGATACTAAATTTAGATATGAAGAAGCCTGAGAGTTATTAAATGTAGAGATTATGAGATCTTTTACTGTAGAGCTCAAATCACAACTTTATACACATTTCTCCTCCTGCCATGACACAGAAAGTTGAACTACATGATTTGTCATTTTTCAACTAGGCTCGTGATTCAATAATTTAGATGACAGGCATATTTGGTGATGCTGCATTCTTACGATATTTGTATTTAATGGGCTGTCATATTAAATGCCAGAAGTGAGCTCTGGTGGCATAGCACCTAAGGCATTTGACTGCTAACCAGAAGGCTGGCAGTTCAAACCCACCAGCCACTCCTTGGAAGGAAGATGAGACAACCTACTTCCATAGAGGTACTGCCTCGGAAACGCAAGCAAGGGTCGCTGTGAGTTAGATCCAACTTGACGGCAGTGAGTTTCTTGAGTTTATATGTAAATGTACTTAATATAAAATAATGTTTTAAAAGTATCAGAGTAGCTCAATCTATGATGAAATCTACAGTTTGTAATATTTCTTACTGAAACCAATTTTAAATTTTTTGGTTTTGCAAAGTTGACGTTTACAAATCAATGCTGTTAATTTTTCTTTCTCCTATTTTTTAAAATGTTCGGAAGGAAACACTGGATTTAAAACCTAAATTATATAGAAAAAGACTATTGCTTTGAAAATAATTATGTTTATTTCTCAGGCTCTGTGTTTTAAGAAACTCAGAGTGCATTTATTTTGTGAAATGTCTTAATAGTTCTTTGAAAAGAAAGTAGACGAAGACTGTCATCTATATTTTAATATGTAAAAGTTTCTGGAGTATGGAAAACATCAGTGGTCACTAATATGTTCTTTTGTAGAGCTAAATCAGTACTTAGGAAACGGATGGTATTTGGTTCATTACCACAGGCAAACAAACTGAGATGATTGTTAGGAATGGGTATTTGTTTTTGTTTTCAAATTTTCTGGCACCTTACAAATAATTTATTGGGATATGACTTATGAAAACACGTAGAAGCATTACTCTAAAAATTCCATTCTTTTGAAACCATGTTATTTGGATACCACATTTGTAGAAGCTAAAAATAGATTTTAATTGTCTCCTGAGATTGGTGGAATACATGTAGAAAAGACAAACGTGGTGATTTATAGTTTGACTTGGTTAATTTTTGGTATCCATATCACTCTTTTTTCATGATTTCTTCAGGAAAAATGTAATCACATACAGATTTCTATTTTCTTGCAACACAAAATTAATGTGAATTCCATTTCAAGCTAACCACCATAAAAAAAGTTTCTAAAAGCCTGGTTCATATTTTTTAAGTGCTATAAGTGGATGACTTGCTTAACTTTAATTTTTAGAGAAATACATTTTATTTTTTAGTTCCATCATTTTGTTAAGTTGTGGAAGTGGTGATAATAAAAGGTTAATTGAAAAGCTTTCCTTTTAATAATGTATTTCTGTCTACATATATTGCTCTGAGTGTCATTATTTACTGAGTTTCTGTGAAAAGAAATTGTTTTTACCTATTAAAACAATCCTTGAGATAAATGGTTACTTTTTTTCCCAAGCATTAGTGTTAATTAAAGTGTGAAGGTAAAGCATGACTACAAATGGGTACTGCTTCATTCATTAAAGCAGAAGACCTTAGAAAATTTATTTAGAGTTATTGCTTAACATATGCATTAATTTGATTAGCCATTTATTCAGACGTTGGAGAGGATTATTTTCCTGTAATCAAATCCGTCTTGTATTACTGAGCCAAATAAACTATAATTAATGTTTGAGATGTTCATTTTTAAAAAAGATAGAAAAGGAAACCAGTTATTAGTTACTGCAATATCACTTGCAGCTACTAATTCTCAATTATAGGTTCCAAATTATAGACTGAGAAACAATCTGTGTAAGAATTTATTTTTCATATTAGTTTATTCTCTATTGCTCGTTTCAGATGTTTTAGTTATTTCATGGCTTATTAGATAAAAGTTTATTCCAATTTTGTTTTTTAAGCCCAGGAACTAATGCTTTTCTTCTTCTGGATTTATGACGTACATGTAGGACAAATTAAGCTAGCCTATTACTCTTCTCTCTAATGTACTTTAAGGGTAACAAAAAGGAATTCTGGGTACTTGTTTATGTTTTTCTCATCCCTAGTCTCCCTTTGTAGGAGCTCTGGTAGCATAGTGCCTAAGTACTTGACTGCTAACCAGAAGGATGGCAGTTCAAACCCACCAGCCACTACTCAGAAGGAAGGTTGGGCAATCCTACTTCCGTAGTGATACTGCCTTGGAAACCCAAGGAGGGGTCGCTATGAGTCGGGTTTGACTCGAGGGCAAATAACAACAACAACAAAGTCTCCCTTTGTGGAAGAAAGATGAGGCAATCTGCTTCCGTAAAGATTACAGTGTTGGGAACGCAATGACACACTTCTGCTTCATCCTGCAGGGTCACTATGTGTTGGAATCCACTTGATGGCAACGGGTTTGGTTTTGGTTTTAGTCTCCCATGAATACATGACTTGATTTATCTTGATCAGCCTAGTAACTTGCTCCACATTTTTCCAAAAGTGCAAAGCCGTTTCAGCTAAAAATAAACATATCAAAATGCTCCAAAAGTTGTGGCCACAGCTCAAAAATGCTGATCAGTTTTGAAAATCTAAATCAGCCTCGGCCATGAAACTCAGGGAAGAACCTTTGTGGTGGGGGACAGGTTTCCAAAAATTCACCACAGTCCTCTTCTTAGCTGGGGTTTATGCTGATGTTGCCAGACAACTGAGGAATAGATGCAAAAAGCAGGAAGCATTATTGAATTGAGCCCCAGCGCCAATTTGGGAAAAGCAAATTAAAATGTAAAAGAATATTTTTCCATTCCTGGCCTCTTGACATAAAATGGCAAAATACATGATTGCTCAAAAAAGTTACACAAAGTGCTAATTTTGCCAGAAAGTAAAAACTAATTACTCAATCTTTTTGTATTAAAAATGCATATATAGATGGCAATTTAAAAACAAAATAGTGTTAATGCTAATGACATATTTCAATTTACAAATCAAAGAAGTGCATATATATTTAAGTAGAAAAATTTTGACATAAATGTTTGTGTGTATGGCCTTGTTTCAATGTCTTTTGATATTTTTTAGGTTCCACTTGAAGAATGGATGATGATGATTTTGGTGGTTTTGAGGTATGCACTGTTAACTTAAATCATTGTTTAACTTTGTAGTATTATAGTGGAGTAAACTATTTTGAAATCTATTATTATTGGGCTTCAGAATCTTTTCTTGATCATTTGGAATATAACTCTGGAATTAAAAAAAAACAATGAAATCACAGAAAATGAGAAAATCTCCCCTCTGAAGGTTAAAAGTGATTCGTTATTACTAAACAGTTGATCTTGCCCATAGGAATGGTTTAAAATGAGATAATTAAGTGCTACCAGTGGAAGCATTTAGAAAGGGGCTTAAAAATTGTCAGTAGATGATCTTGGTGGGATACATGTCTATTCGGAAATACTTGTGAGATGAGGGATGAGTATTGAAACTCCTTTCGTGCATTTTCATGTTTACACCTGTAATGAGTTGATTTAATATATTAAGTACATAGCCTTTTGGTGGTTTATAGAACTAATTAGTATGTTTTTGTTACTAGATCATTCTCTCAGGTTTCGGTTGGATGCTTTGTAAGTGGAAACTGTTAGCTGAAGAAGCACTGTCTTTTCCTTAATCCTTTTCAGTGTGTGTTCATTTTATTGAAATATTTTATAACCCACTTATTTTTATGGAGTCAGTATAGTCTTGCAGGAAAATCTCTGGATTAGGAGTCAGGATGCCTGAGCTCAAATCCCGAATCTGCCATCAAGTGAGCTCTGTGATTTTTTTTTTTTAATGTAAGCTTTTCACCTAGTTTGGAATTTGGTCAAAAAGAGATTGTGAAAAATAAGAATGTAAGTAATGACATCAGTGGAGAAAGAGAATATTACCAGTTTTCAATATCATGAAAGTGGTGTTAGTTTTTTAGGTTAGAATCATTTTCTCTTCGGTCAATATGAAAGTATTTAGAGTTTTGACAGAACTCTTGTGCATTTCTTCTAAAGCTGGTTTTTGTTGAACACATTTGTATATTTTCTACTTCTTTTTCAATATTTTGTGTTTTGTTAGGTGCTTGAGTCATATTTATATAATAGAAATGTTAACATTTAAAATTTTTAAGTCCTTTCATTTTGAGGAAAACAGTGGTTTCAGATATCATCTGATTTAGTTTGTTGTTTGAAAGTTGTCAGTTATTTGATGGTTACAGCCTAGTATAATTTCCTTTATTTAAACTGTGCTTGATGTATTTTACCAGGGGGAAAAAAAAGTAGATACTGCTTCTTAGAATAACAATTTTACATCAATGTTATATTCAATAAATTTATTCCTTTCAATATTACAAATGTACAATGTTAACCAACCATTACAATTTAATTGTACTTACTGTAAGGCTACAGTAAGGAGAAGAGGACGCACAAAAGTGAAGTTAAAGAGAAGTTTTTATTCTGAGTTTCCGGGGGAGGTTTACGGGCCCCCAATAGGGGCCCGGGCAAGGTTCATGGGTCCCTGAGAGGGGCCCGGGAAGTCGCACCGCCTGGCTGGGGAGGGGAGGGTTTATAGTCTTGTGGAGGACCTAAACGGGGATACTAAGGAAATAGTGGGGTCCAATTAGCTGTTAGTATGGGTCTGCACTTAATTAGCATGAGGGGCTTCACAAGAGGAAGCTTGCCACTGCATGGAACTTTCCAGTCTGGGCGGGTTCTGTCACTTCTGTCGTCTTACCAGGCTGTCTCATCAGGGCTTGACACCCGGAGGAAGCTGCTAACTGAAATGTAGGTGGCTTGGGTTTGCTTCGGCCTAACATTCCAACCTTTTTTAATGGATAATGGGTGACGTGATTCTCTTAGTTTCTTCCTGCTGAATGGGGTCGGAGAGGGAGAGAGGGGTTTCATAGGTTGGAGTTTGAAAAGTTGGGGTCTTCAGGATGTAAGAGAAGTTGATTCACCGTGACTCGAGACATTTTTCAAGTTGGCTTCGGAGAAGTTTGAGGAGGTGAGGGGTAAAGAGGAAGAAGATGGTAATTAGTATAAATGGGTTTATAAGGGGAAGTAGTCAGGTGGTTAATGGAAACTGAAACTAAGTGAATGGGGAGTTGCTGATTTGGTTTTTTTTTTGCGTAGGTCTTCACTTAGGTGTTAATATTTTTCCTATGAGGCTAAATTTGTTGATAAAGTAGTAATATTTTTTTTTTTGAGGAATTTTTTTTTGAGGAAGAGGTACTTTTTTATTTTTGGCTGTTAGCAGGTCAAGGGTTTGTCGGTTCTGTAAAGTAACTTGAGTTAGAGAGGTTAGTTGGTGTTGTAGGGCGGTTAGAGAGTCTGCTGTGATTTTTACTAGGAGCTGTAACTGATTTTCTAGTTCTGTGTTGACATGATGCTGTGCTTCAATAGACAGGGTGGTGGAGGTTAGAGAAAGATTAATTATGATAGGAAGGAAGGCTGTTTTTTTGAGGGTCCGTGGATCAAGTTTGTAATATTTGTTCTGCTTGCACTGATAGGATAGGGGTGTTATAAGGGGATTGAGTGGAGATTAAGAGTTTTTTGGATAAAAAGCACTGTATAAGAGGTTTTAGGCTGTGTCGGTGTGTGTGAGAAATGGGAAATTGGGGTTTGGATGGGAACTGTGTAGGGTTTTTTAAATTTACTATAACAGGGGGGTGATGAGACGTAATGGATGGGGAAGAAGTATTTCACAGGCATGGATCAACAAGGTTAGGGGTATGGGAAAAGCTGGTGCTTGCAGGGAGGTAGTAGTTAGTGACAGCAGGAGAGAGGCAGAGTGATTTTGAGTTCAAGTGAGAGTGGTTTTAATTTTTGTGAGGAAATTTCGCCCTAAAAGGGGGGTAGGGCAGGTTGGTATAATAAGAAATGAGTGTGAAAGAGTTTTGTCATTTACTAAATAGGTGAGGGGGCCTGTCGTGGGGGGGTTGAGGGTTGCCCGTTAATTCCCATAACAGAGACTGAGGAAAGGAAATATGGTCCCGAGAAGGAGGGGAGTACAGAATAGGCAGTCCCAGTATTAATTAAAAGGAGACTGGCTTACCTGCTACTTTGATAGTGACCCTGGGCTCAGTGAGAGTGATCGTGGTTGCTGAGTCCGGGCTCCTTTAGTCGTCAGTGGCCAGGCCAAGATTGTCGACAGCGGGTTAGTGCATGGGGAGGATGGCCCTCTGTGCTTTGACACAGAGGGACAGTCACTCTTCCAATGTCTTTTCAAACCACACGCTGGACATGGGCCGGGGCCGGTCGGGGCTGAGGGCAGGATTTGGCCCAGTGTTCTTTTTTACCTCACTTGAAGTAGGATCGGGGAGCTGTGGAGGAAGGAGGTCTTCTGTCACTATGTGCTGGCCTCAGGGCCGCTAGCAAGGCATTGGCCTGCAAGGCAGCTTTCTGGTGGGTCCTGGCTGCTCCATTTGCCTCCGCTTTCTCCTCTCGGGTGTTAAAGACTTTAAAGGCCATATTTACTCAGTCTCCGATGGGAGTTTGGGGTTCCTCTTTAGCCTTTTTTTAAAGTTTTTTTTAAGTTTCTTTCTAATGTTAGGAGCTGACTGGGTTGTGAAATGAGTGGCTAGGACTGTGGTTCCAGCTGGAAAGAAAAGGTCTAGACGGGTAAATTGGGTAAGGGTTTTGGTTAATCGGTTCAGGAAGGTGGTTGGGTTTTCATCTAGAAGTTGGGTACTGTTTTGGAGTTTGTTAAAATTAATTGTTTTATGAGAGGCAGTTTGCCTGTTAGGAGGTATTGGAGCATTTTATTTTTGTGGGATCTCTGGTGTGTTTGGACTGGGTGTTTGGAGAGGAAAGGGTGGGAGAGGCAGAGGAGGATGTTTGGGAGGTAGGTGAGACAGGAGGACAGGGAGTTGTAGGGGGAAGGGGAAGGGAGGAAGGTGTTATTTGGGGGAGAGGGGGTTGTGTTGCAGTATAAGGAGGGGGTCTGGGGGGTAGGGGCAAGCTTTCCAGTGGGTTAGAAAAGGAGGAAGAGGAAACTGTTTGAGTGGTTTCAGAGGGGGAGAGAGGTATGGGTTTGTGAGGTTTGGGTTTTTTGAGTAAGGAGGATTTAAGTGGTATTACATTTTAAGCACAATAAGGGCTGGGAGCACAAATAAAAAAAGGTTTGGACATAGGGGACTTCCGGCCATTTGCCTGTATGTTGGTAAAAATTGTCTAAGTCTGTAAGGATATTAAAGTTAAAAATTCTGTGTTCTGGCCAGTGAGAACTATTGTCTAGTTGGTACTGGGGCCATGCTGTGGTGGAGTAAAAAATGAGGTGTCTGGGACAGAGGTTCTGGTCTAGTAATAAGGTCTTAAGTTTCGTTAATAAATACCCCAGAGGGGTTGTTGGATTGATTTTGGAGTTTTGATTGCTCATTGGTTCTGAGTTTTTCGGATAGGGTTCCTGGAACCCTATGCCAGTGGGACTGTTTTACGTAGGTGGACGTCTCCGCCTGACGCTAGACAGTCGAATGAGGAATGACCCTCCGAGAAATGACCCTCAAGGGAGATAGATGTCAGGCGTCCCCAAGCAACCAAACTCCCGGACTGTGAGGAGTTTCTGACGTGGTACCACGATTTTTCCCTGTGCCAGTGATGCAGAAAACTCCGGTGCAGAATTCAGACCTTTGGGCAAGTCAATTCTCCAAAAGCGATCCACAGGAGATATTAAAAGAGGAAAATAATCACACTGGAGACATGTCCCAAGGACTAGTCAGATGCCCGGTTGTCCGCTCCCCTTTTGGGGATTTAAGTGAGTCTTTGGCTAAGGTGTCTCTGTATAAACCCCGGAGCGGAGGGCAGAGCCACACTGTTATGCCGATCCGACTTCACACGGAAATCAACTGAGGGCCCACTCAGGCTCCGTGACCTAGATCTTGGAGCATTACAGAAACATTCATACAACTTCTTAGTCAGACGCAGACAGGTTACAACAGAACTAATTTAAATTGTCTGGTAGTAGGCACTGGTTCATTGCTTAGAGTTAAAAAATTAAAATGGCCGATGGAGGACAACAGAATACAAAATGTATGTCCTCTGGTGGGCATTGAGTAAAGGGTAAGATGTGACTTACCGGTGGTGGATGCAGGGGGCCGGAATTCCCTGGTCCAGAGGGAAGAGGGAGAAGGGGAGTAAGAATTCCCTCGGGTTCTACTCCTCTTCCCGGGGTTCGGCACCAAATGTAAGGCTACAGTAAGGAGAAGAGGACGCACAAAAGTGAGGTTAAAGAGAAGTTTTTATTCTGAGTTTCCAGGGGAGGTTTACGGGCCCCCAAGAGGGGCCCGGGCAAAGTTCACGGGTCCCTGAGAGGGGCCCAGGAAGTCGCACCGCCTGGCTGGGGAGGGGAGGGTTTATAGTCTTGTGGAGGACCTAAGCGGGGACACTAAGGAAATAGTGGGGTCCAATTAGCTGTTAGTATGGGTCTGTACTTAATTAGCATGAGGGGGCTTCACAAGAGGAAGCTTGCCACTGCATGGGACTTTCCAGTCTGGGCGGGTTCTGTCACTTCCGTTGTCTTATCAGGCTGTCTCATCAGGGCTTGACACCCGGAGGAAGCTGCTAACTGAAATGTTGGTGGCTTGGGTTTGCTTTGGCCTAACACTTATTATCTTTCTTTCTTTCCACATCCTGTTTTAGAAATACAGAAGATCTCTGTTATTGGTTATATAAAATACGTTCATTTTTCATTGTTTACAGAGAGTGGCTACTGTATTCTTTTATATCACTTAGCTCCTATGGCAGTTTGCTCCATTTGACTTTGCTGATAACTGAATATAGAATCCAAATAGAAATTCTGGCTCTTTCATTTTCAATAATTTTACTGTGTGACTTGGGCACCTGAGAGACAGAAAACTCTTTCCCAGTCTTACCCATAAACTCAGCATTCAGTAATTGTTCTATTGTTTTAAATTATTAGATAGGAGGGCTGATATATTGGAAGTATTATCTTTAGGAATTCTCTAAATGTTGAATGCTGGTGAGTCCAGCTATTAGATTAAGAAGATATATAAATTCTGTTTCTTTAGATTGATCTATAGTTAGATGCTGTGCTAATTTATTAAAGAGATTTTGTCTCTAAATTTTTAAGGAATAGTAATATATATTTACACACATACACACACATATATTTACATGTCTCTGATATATTATATCACAATTTCAATTTGGATCCAATATTTAGTTATTAGCAAAGTCGAAAGGGACAACAGCCACAGGAGCTAAGTGGTATAAAAGAATACTGTAGCTATTCTCAACAAACTATGAAAAATGAACATATTTACATAACCAATGACAGAGGTATTCCATATTTGTACAGTGGAATGTGGAAAGGAGGAAACATATTATGTATCAGAGATATGTAAATACACACACACACACATACACAATATATCAGAGATGTATAAATACTGTGATGAATTAAGTTATTTAGATATAAAGTCCACAAGTGAAAATGTAATTGTTGTTGCTAGTTGCCATTGAGTTGATTCTCACTCATGGTGAAAATGTGATTAAGGATATATAAACAAAAATTTCATTGGCAGGAGATGTATATATGTAATGAAGGAAACAAGATAACAGGGCATGGAAGCTGAAAGTGGTGATAATGGTGGAAGTGGTAGCAATTAAGACAGAAAAGCAATTGGATGTTCAGAGAATATTCGAAAGTATATGGTGTTTTACAGAAAATATACTTACAGAACTGGGGGTTTGATCACTTAAATGGTGTTTCTGCTTTTCAGAGCTTAAGATAATCTTGCCTGTATTTTCTAGGCTGCAGAGACTTTTGAGAATGGAAATGGTGAAACTCAAACCACATCTCCTGCTATTCCTTGGGCTGCTTTTCCTACAGGTAAGGACATTGAGTAATATTATAGATTGAATTGTGTCCCCCTGAAATATGTGTCAAATTGGCTGGGCTATGATTCTTAATGGTTTGACAGTTAGATAATGGTGTAGTTTGGCAGTTATGCAGTGATCCCTCATGATGTGATCTGATATGATAAGTCATTTAATTCTAAGAGGATTACAGTGGGATGCAACACCCTTAATCTTGTCACAGCCCTGATCCAATATAATAGGGGTTTCCTTGGGGTGTGGCCTGCATCATCTTTTATCTTAAAAGAGATAAAAGTAGAGAGAATTGAGCAGAGAGGGAGAGAACTGCTACCACCATGACAGAAGTGCTGGGAACAGATGTATCCTTTGGATTCAAGGTCCCTATGCTGGGAAACTTCTAGATCTAGAGGAAGATTGATGGCCAAAATACGTGGAGAGCGCCAGAAAATGCTTGGCTTACAGATGTTGAAAGGAGACAAAGACTTTCCTCCCGAGAGAGTCTTCTCCTAAAGCTGGCACTCTGAATTCAGACTTCTGACCTCCTCAGTGATGAGAAAATAAATTTCTGTTTTTTAAAGCCGTCCACTTGTGATATTCCTGTTGTAGCCACAATAGATAACAAAGAAAAGTAGCTAGAATTTTTTTTCTTGTTTTTTCTTTGAAAGTCAATTTCTCACTGATACATTCATTAATGTAGGTTTTCCCATAACAAATTGTGAATCGATTAACAAAATATGCACGGCTTGAGATCTCATTCTTAAAATGGTGTCATGAACATTAAATGATATGAAAGTACAATATACATTTTCTAATTTGTCTTAGTTTTTGGTAGGTAAAGTACTAAATAACTTTTTTCTAGGTCGTCCAGTTCATTGGTTAATGTCTGCCTTTTTATATTCTAGAAATAATTTATCATCTCCACCAGTATTTAAATTTAGAAGATTATTGAGAAACTCTTTCAAAAGCATTGAAAATTATAAGTAAGCTATAAGAGAAATTAAATAGAGCAAAAATTCCATTATTAAGAAATATTTCTTAGAAAATCTAATATTTAATATAATTTATGTCTAAAGAATATTTTGAGATTTAAGACTTTTCATTTTACCATATCATTGTAAAGTCAGGAGTAGATAAAAGTATCTTCCTTTAACAGTTTTGTGTAGCCTAGATTATTTATTTATTATTATAAATAATATTATTAATATTAATTATTCATAAGTGTTTATTGAGTACTTATTATGCTTTAAGGAGCTCTGGTAGTGTAGTGCCTAAGACACTTAACTGCTAACCATATGACTGGCAGTTCAAACCCACCAGCCACTCTGCGGAAGGGAGGTTGGGCAATCTATTTCCGTAGTGATACCGGCTCTGAAACTCAAGGAGGGGTCACTATGAGTTGGGTCTGACAGACAGCACATAACAACAACACAACAACAACATTATGCTTTAGGAAGTATGGGGGATAAAGATGTATAGAACATAGTCTGGTCTTTTCCTTTAAGGAAAGGTTGTTGTTGTTGTTGTTGTTATGTGCCGTCGAGTTGGCCCCGACTCATAGCGACCCCTCCTTGGGTTTCTGAGGCAGTATCACTATGGAAGTAGGATTGCCCAACCTTCCTTCCGAGGAGTGGCTGGTGGGTTTGAACCTCCAGCCTTCTGGTTAGCAGTCAAGTAAAGGTAGGCAGGGCAAAACCAAAAACCATACTCACTGCCATTGAGTTGATTCTGATTCATAGCAACCCCCTTTGGGTTTTTGAGTGTTCAGGTGCTAATCTTCACGGAAGTAGATAGCCCAATCTTCCTTCCATGGAGTGGCTGGTGGGTTTAATCTGCCAGCCTTCTGGTATGCCACCAGAGCTTCTTAAAAGTAGGGCAGCACTTTCATATTTGTAATATGAAGCATATCTATGCTTGGAAAGACTTCATTAATAATAGTCATTCTATCATCCATCCATTCAGCAAATGCTTATTTCAGGCCTACTGGGCAGGAGCTCCGGTGGCACAGTGGTTAAGTGTTCAGGTGCTAAGTGTGAAATAGGGGATTTGAACCCACTAAGTGGCTCTGTGGGGAAAAAGATCTAGCATTTGCTCCCATAAAGATTATAGCCTGGAAAACCCTATAGGCAGTTCTGCTCTGTCTTGCAGGGTCACTGTAAGTCTTAATTTATTTGATGGTATACAACAGAAACAGCATGAGTCAAATTCTGTCCTTGAATCTGGGCATATATTGTTAATCTGAGCTTTGAAGAATGATTTCAATAGACAGATATGGGAGGGTGGGGAAAGATTTTGAAGAGAGATAAAAGTATATGGAATATAGTTTCAAATGATGGAAAAGGGATTCATAGTTAGTGTGTACATTCTTGTTTCATTGCTTTATATGTTGTTTCTTTTGCCTGCAGTTGTTTCCCTGGCTTCCCTCTTCTATTCTCTATGACTCCTTTACCATATTAACTCCTATTTTATTTATTTTTTTTTGTGGATATGTGTGTTACTTTTTACCTTAATATTTCTTTCCTGGGAAGCCTTCTTAGCAGTCCTTTCCATGTCTACATGTATCTATTATTGACTTTCATGTTAGCCTGTAAGTTTTGTGGAGTTAAGCACTATGTTTGTCTGTCCACTTGTTATGTCTCAAGTGGTGAGCATAGTGACTAACTTTTTGTTGGCTTTTAATAAATATTTGCATAATGAATAATTAAAAAAAAATGAATGAGTATATAAGTAGTTCAGTGAATGGATAGATTAGAGTAGCTTCAATAGATAAGAATAGAAAGAATTGGGATAATAATATTTATTATTAATATTATTTATTATTATATGGCTTAGGATTTTTAGTGTGCTGTCACATATTGTTTATTATAATACAGGTATGGCAACTATACTACCCCCAATGCACAGATGACAAAATGATGGTTTAAATAAAAAAAATGTTGGGATAAAATCCAGTCTTTCAGATTCTCTCTCATTTCTTTTCAGTAACTCTTTTTGAATAAAACATAAACAGACTATCTGAATGAGTGGATGTGGGGCTGAAGGAGGAGTCAAAATTGATTCTTGAAATTTTAAGCCTTGGTTCTTGCATGTTGTGAATTTAAAAGAATTTGTCTGTGGTAGCATGTGGCCTTAATGGATTTATTTTTAGACATATGTGTAAGGACCTCTGGTCCTTTTTTTGTAAGGTTAAGGCATTCGGCTGCTAACCAAAAGGTTGGTGGTTCAAAAGCACCATCCACTCCATGGAAGAAAGATGAGCAGTCTGCTTCCATAAAGATTTACAGCCTTAGAGACCCTTTGGGGCAGTTTTATTCTGTCCTGTAGGGTTGCTATGAGTTTGAATAGACCTAATGGCAATGGGCCGGGTGGAGTTCTTGGTTTGAGAGCTTTTCCAATGACGGGACAGTTTTAGGTGATTATAGGGAAAACAGTATATAGCAAGAATAGACCGGAGTATGAAATTTTGGATGTATTTTATTTAGACAACAGAAAGATGAAAACAAGACTGAAGTCTGAGAGGTAAGGAGAGTGTTGGGATGGTGCTGCAACACAGATATCAAGAAGAGAAAATTTCAAGGAAGATGTGGTCATTAATGTCAGAGGCTATAGAGAGGTCAGTGAGATTTGAGCCTGAGAAAAAAACCCACAGAAGGTCAGAAGTGGCTTTTGAGGAAATGGCTTCAGTAGATTGGAAGTTGAAGCCAAATTGTACTCCTTTGTTTATTATGAACAGAAGAACAGAATCTGTTTTCCTATAGTAATTGTGGCACTGTACTAAAGAATTATCTTGTGGGCAAATTAGCTAATTCTTTTTTTCCAGGAGTGAATACTATATTACATCGCTCTGTGCATGTGTCGATATGTCCATAGGGCAAGGTCTCAAAGCCTAATGAAGGTGGAGTTACAGAGTAACCCTTTTTCCAGAGTGTGTGTGTGTGTATGTGCATATGTGCTTTTGTTCTTTTGCTTTTGGAAAAAGCAAATTTTCTGTTCCTTTTGTTCTTGGTCAGTATGTGGAGATTATTACTTCATTTTAGGAGAATGACCTTGATTCAAGTCTTTTCTTCCTGTTTCCTAGCTTTACCCTCCATTCATATACACATACACATGCACTGTCTCTCCCTTTCTCTATCTCTCATTCCCTTAAACAAAAAAAAAAAATAGATCTGAAGAAAGTACTCTTCTTTCTGGGTGTCTTCAGTTACTTGCAGGAAAGGAGGAAAACAAACTTGGCCAAGGGCTCAGGTTAAAGGCACGGTAGGTATGTTTACTCAGCCAAAGCAATCTTTTTCCTTTGATGCAGATGGTTTATACTGCTAGAGAATTGTGCTTCTGATTCAGGTCTCTGGAAGATATTTAGACAAGAGTGAAGTGAACAGGCTAATTAGCAGAACAATTTAATCATTTCCACCCTGAACACCAGACATGATGGATACCTTAAGAGATCTCAGGCAGATTCTATTCTGTTTAAGGAAAGACTGTTTTCTGTCGCTTGTTCTACCTACACCCCAGGTGTCTATAATCCATATGGAAAATATATATATATATTTTTAAATTTTATTTTGATTTGGGTGAAGATTTACAGAGTAAATTCACTTTTCATACAGCAGTT